GGGGGGGGGACAGAAAGAAATGAACATTGCTTTTCAGTTGGGGCAATCAAGGATGGTTTCTGTGAGGCAATGACATTTAAATAGAAACCTCATTGAGGTCTGTGGGAAGAGTGTCCAGGGCAAGAGAACGGCAAGTGCAAACTTCTTGATGCATTCACGTCCTTCGCCCGTACCCAACACCAAGGAGCCCAGTGAGGCTGAAGCAGAGTGAACAGGAGGCAAGGTCAAAGGGGGGGGTCTCAAACTCACCGCCCTCCGGTCAATGCCGACTCACCCTGACTCTATCAGACAGCATAGAACTGCCCCTATGGGTGTTCGAGACGGAAGTTCGCATCTTTCTCCTGCCAGATGAGGACGAGAGAACCAGATCCAGGGTCTTGGGGCCACAATGTGGTATTTCGTTTTTGTTCTGAGTGAGGGCAGAACCACAGGAGGGTTTTGAACAAAAAGAAGGTGGCCAAGACTTTGGGTTGAACATGATCCTTCTGGATGTCGTGATAATAGACTATGGAGTGGGTGAGGGCAGAAGCAGAGACATTCTACAAGCTCCAAGACAGGTCTATTCTGGCTGCCCTGATCCCCTCAGCCTTGTACACCTGCGGTAGCCCTCCGCAATCATCAGCTCCACCCACATCTCCTCCCGCAGGGAGAAGAGCACTGGAGGGAACTTCCCACAGGAGAATGGGGTGTTGGTGAGTTAGAAGTCCGGGCACTGTCTACACCACCCCAACCACCAATATCTGTCTGTCTGTGCATGTCTCTCACCCTCATCCTCTGCCTATTCATTCCCCATGATTTTACCTCTTCCACATTTCCCCTGTATCCATTCTCCGGGATGTCTCCCCCACCACTGCTGATGCCCATCTCCCTGATGGGGACCACGAGGTACCTGATGGGGAGAACGAGGAAGAGGAAGGCGCCAATTGTGAAGAAACAGGCAAGTAGGTAGGGCCAGGTGGAGGAGGTATGGGACCATGGGGACAGATTCCAGGCAGGTCTACTGATCCCTGAGACACTTAGTTCTGGGAGAAGCTATTTCCAAAATCATATTGAAGTTTGAATTGGTGTATGGCCAACATTTGAATACATTGGGGTTTTTTAAAAAAAACAAAACTTGTTTTGTTTTACTGCAGAACTTCCTGGAGGCTTTATTGCAAACTAATGAGCATAGGGATATTCGTTCAGTACACACTGCTTAGCTCCTACTGTGTACCAGACACTCTGCTAAGTGCTGTGGATACAGCGGCGAACAAAAAGGACTGAGAGCCTTCCCTCTAGGTGGGGGGAGGGAGGAGAATTCACTGTGTGACAACCACTGTTACAGCTGTTTTACATAAATTTTTTCAATCATTTACTTCTGGTGCCAGGCATGGAGGAGGAGGAGGAGGAAGAAGAAGAAGAAGGAGATGCAGGACATGTAGAAATCCTGCAGGAAGTTGTACCCAAAGAGAAGGTGGTACCCATCCCTGAGGGCAGCGCCTTCTTCTGCCTTAGCCAAACCAACCCGTGAGTGCAGACAACAGGTGGCCATTGGGGTCAAGGGCAGAGTCATGGAGCAGCCAAGGCAGGGGTCTCTGCAGTCTCCATCAGCCATAGAAGGGTGGAGTGTACGACCTGTTGTGACAGGGCCAGAGTTAGATCGCTCAGGCTCCCCTAATCAGTTCCAGGGTCCTGAGTTTTTACTGTGGCCCATCCCCCCTTCCCTAGGCTGAGGAAAGCCTGCCACACCCTCATCCACCATCATATCTTCACCAATCTTATCCTGGTCTTCATCATCCTCAGCAGTGTGTCCTTGGCTGCAGAGGACCCCATCAGAGCCCATTCCTTCCGTAACCACGTGAGCCAGTGGCTGGGGCCTTTGGGAAGGGGCACTTTTAGGGGAGGTCTTACTGAGCTCAGGCCAAGGCTAGAGTGGAGACAGGGAAAAATGTAACAGAGGGAGTAGAGGTGGGGGAGTAATTATGGTTGCCCCACAGTGTCAAGTGTCAGTAAATGCCTGATGAGAAAGCTGTGCTCAGAAAGGGTAAGCAGGTGGGTAGCACTGGGTAGAACCCAAATTTGAACCCTAATATTTCTGACAGCCTAGGATTTGTGTTTGGAGAGAGGGAAACAGAAAGAAAGAGGGAGGGGCTTGATCTACTTCTAGGGCAATGTAGCCCAGAGAAATTACTGAAACCCGAAGGAAGGCCGAACATGACAGTGGGACAAGAAGAAAGTAAAAGGAAATCGAGGAAAGAACTAGGAGGCAAAGGACATGTATACAGGTCTAAATATAGGCATGAACATATGTAAATGCATTTTTATATAGTGATAGGGAAATAGATCTACGTACATAGATTGATATGTTAAGTATTAAGGTAGCAGATGGACATGGGGCCTCTACTCAAGTACTCCCTCAATACAAGAGCACTTTTTTCTAATAACCTGGCATTCCGTGATGCTCACCTTCCCGGCATGATCACTGAAGACAAAATGGGTGCACAAGCAAATAATGGTGAATAAAGCTAATGGTGCCTGGTTATCAAAAGAGAGCAAGAGGGAAGAGGAGGAAGGGAGAGCAAATAGAGGGAACCACATGTGTTCACCCATGTGTGTGTGTGTGTGCACACACACCTAAGAATCTCCTAGGTCATGATTCAATGATTCACTTTCCTACAATCCAGATTCTGGGCTACTTCGACTACGCCTTCACTTCGATCTTCACTGTGGAAATTCTACTAAAGGTGACCAATGGGCCCCCAATTATAATTCCAGTTGCCCAATGTACTTCACACCTGTTGCCACAGCCCACCTCTCCTGTCTCCATCTCCTCTTCCTCCAACTACCCCTGGATCTGGGAGCTAGCCTGCTGTCTTCCTGCCTGCAGATGACCGTGTTTGGGGCCTTTCTGCACCATGGTTCCTTCTGTCGCAGCTGGTTCAATCTGTTGGATCTGCTGGTGGTCAGTGTATCACTCATCTCCTTTGGCATCCAGTGAGTAACACCCTGCCCTGCTCTGTTCCCCCGGAAACAGAGGCCAGGTCTGGGCTAGGGCCTGAGGATTGCCCCTCCCCAGCTCCAGTGCCATCTCAGTGGTGAAGATTCTGCGAGTACTCCGAGTACTGCGGCCCCTTCGAGCCATCAACAGGGCCAAGGGACTCAAGGTAGCTCCCACACTACCTAACTTTGCAGGGTCCAGGCACTGTCCTGCTCCCGGAGCTAAGATCACTAATCTGATGGCCACTCACATTGATACGTGCAGCCATGACCCAGAAGGTAACTCACATTCTGGACCACTGGCCATGTGACCTCACCTGTGTTCTTGACCAATGATCACATTCTCTGTCCTACTGGCCACATCTCTTTGATTCAAGTCCCTGACATGTGACCAAATATCCCTGACTAGCAAACACTCATACTCCTTCCTGGTTGATACTCACATATCTTTGGCCCACATAATTGCCTCTTACCTTTGACCCAAAACCACATGTCCTTGGCCCAAGTCCCTGAACCTCATCGATGACCAGAGATGCTAGCTCATGTCTGTGAGTGGACTATAGTGACTATTCACTATATGTCTGTGTGCCTGCAGCATGTGGTCCAGTGTGTGTTCGTGGCCATCCGGACCATAGGGAACATCATGATTGTCACCACACTCCTGCAATTCATGTTCGCCTGCATTGGCGTGCAGCTCTTCAAGGTAAGGGGACACACTGAAAGGATGCCCAAGCAAGGGTCAGGGCTTGGGGCAAACGATGAATCTGTACCACTAATGTCCTCCCTACAGGGGAAATTCTACAGTTGCACTGATGAGGCTAAACACACGCCCCAAGAATGCAAGTGAGTACCTCAGACCTTACCCTCTACAGAGCCCAGAGCCCCTCCCCGAAAGCGAAGAGGCCCTTAAATCTTATCAAGTTCCTGAATATCCCAGAATATCTTGGGGGGGAACCCCAAGAAACTTCAGATACCTTCAGATTTCATTAAGACCTCCCAGAATTCCCAAGACCCCAAGATAAACCTTTGGAACTCTCCCAAGAACAAAGGGAAAGAAAAATGTGGGGTTAAAAACTCAATAATCATTAAAAAGACTAAACTTACTGGTCAGATAGGGACAGGTAGGATCCCCTTAGTTGCCTTTCAGGTCTGTGACTGAACTCACCCCCATGCTAGAATAATCATTCATCTAAGATCAAAAGGGCAACATTTTGCCCAAGGACAAAGTTCAGAGGGTTAAGAAAGAAGGAGGAATGGAAACACAGGGATGAGGGTACATTGAGGATATTGCAATGGATGAGTTGAAACAAAATGTGTATGAATTGTTGAAAATTAAACCAACTATCTGCTTTATAACCTTTCACCTAATTCACAATAAAAAGTTAAAAAGAAAAATTCTCCCAAGAACTGCCAAGGCCCCAGCTCTCACCAAAGCCCTCAAGTTCACCCCAGTGCCCTCTCAACATTTCCCAGATTCTCCCTAAGACCCCCTGTGAAGCAATGCCTAACCTTCCCCAAGGTCCCTGGTTTCCACCTTGACATTCTTAATAGCGCAAGTATCGAAGTCAGGAATTTCTAGTCCCAATCCTATAGCTACCACTTAGGTGGGTTTGTACATTTTACTTTGGTACATTTCTTAACTGCTCTATGGCCCATTTTCCTCAGCTGCAAAAGAGGGGTGAATAGAAAGCTTGCTTCACAAAGTTTGTGTAGAGAGTAAATGAGTTACTGCATGAAAAGTACTTAGCACGATACCTGGAATATAGTTAGTGTTGATGAATGTTGGCTGTTATCAGTATGGAGTCCCAGGAGAGCACAAGCAGTTAAACCCTCAGCTACTAACTAAAGGTTGGCCATTGTGATCCACCCAGCAGCAGCTCAGAAGACAGCCGACAGTGACCTCCTTCTGAAGGGTCACAGCCATTGAGGCGGTTCTACTCTGACACACATGGTGTTGCAGGGGTTGACATTCACTAGGGGTACTAGGGTAATGCATATGGTTAATATGCTGTCCTGATAACCACAAAGTTGAATATTCAAATCTACTCAGAAGCACCTTGCAAGAAAGCCCTTTGTAATATACTTTTTTTTTTTAATGGCCATTCAAAATCCTGTGAAGCACAGTTCTAATCTGACAAACACAGGACAACCATGAGTCAAAGTCACCTTCATAGCAACTGGCTATGAGTGGTTATCCTGAGCATGGGTTTTCCCTGGGTGGTGATGGTGATGATGAGAACGATGGTCATGATGGTCATGGTAGCTAACACATATGGTACCAGACACTGTCTTATTTATTGAGTTGTTTAATACTTGCAATAAGCCAGGAAATGGGTACTGCTATTAGCCCCATCTTACAGCTACCAAAAACTGAAGCATAGCGAGGCTAAATAGGTCAAAGTCACCCAGCCAGTAAGTAGAGAGGCAATCTTTGAGCCCAGGCTATCCAGCTCCACCACCATGCACTGCTACTTCCATGTGGAGACTCCAGTATCCTTTTCACGGCTTCCCAACCCTCCTTAACCACTGACCTTGTCTGAAACATCCACAGGGGCTCCTTCCTGATCTACCCTGATGGAGATGTGTCACGGCCCCTGGTCCGAGAGCGGCTCTGGGTCAACAGTGATTTCAACTTTGACAATGTTCTTTCAGCCATGATGGCCCTGTTCACTGTCTCCACCTTCGAAGGCTGGCCTGCGTGAGGGACAGGACCTCAAAGGGCTGGGCAAGGGACATGGCAGGGATCGTTAGTGAAGAGAGTTGAGATCTCCTGGAAATAGGTGGGAGGGTCTCTTAGGGATGCGATGGTCTCTTGAGACACGAGAGTTTCTGGGGACTGGTCATCATCGTAACAGAGGCCTGGCCTTGGGTCTGGGGACTTGGTCAGAGGATATTTCAGAATTGAGTGGAGGGCTCTGGAGACTGAAAGGAGCAGTTCTACTCTGTCTGAGAGGGTCACTATGCGTCAGAAGCAACTCGATGGCAGTGGATTTGACTTGGGTTTTGGTTTTGTCTCTGAGGGACTATGGGAAAATCTAGAATGAACTGGGTGGGGCTTAGGAGTATTGAAAGGCATTGTGAAACAAGTGATTCAGCGGTTTCTAAAGAGCCATGTAGGGGATTTTGAGGTCTTTGGGATACCAGCTGGAGATCTCTGGGGTGGAGGGCAGAAAGAGAAGCCAGGTATTCAAGTTCATGCAGCAGGGGCTTGGAGATCTTTGGAAGTTTGTAAAGGAGTTCTGAAAAGCTGCATGGGGCCCTCCAGGTGAGTGGAAAGAAGGAGTCGAGGGCTTATGAGAACTTATGGATTTGAGACACCTGAAAAGCTGGAATAGGGATTTGAGAGGTCTTTGAGGACCTGGTAGGGGTCCCTTGGGAGATGTGTAGAGGTCTCAGGTGATTAGAACAAGGGACTTGGAGGGAGTCTTTTAGGTGTCAAATTGAAGATTCTGAAGTGCTTGTGATGAATAATCTGGGGGCTGAAAGGGGCTGGGATATCTTCTCACCTGTCCTTACCTCTACCCGCCCCCTCCACCCCCACCCCGCTGGCTTCTACAGACTGCTATATAAGGCCATTGATGCGCATGCAGAAGACAAGGGCCCCATCTACAATTACCGTGTGGGAATCTCCATGTTCTTCATTGTCTACATCATCGTCATTGCATTCTTCATGATGAACATTTTTGTGGGCTTTGTCATCATCACCTTCCGTGCCCAGGGTGAACAAGAGTACCAAAACTGTGAGCTAGACAAGAACCAGGTGACCTCCACCCCCTCACCCTTTACCTATGGCCACCAACCCTGCCATGGCCTCCTTGCCTCTGGACCCCACTACTCACTCATTCCCTCCACCGGTCTACAGCGCCAGTGCGTGGAGTATGCTCTCAAGGCCCAGCCACTCCGCCGCTACATCCCCCAAAACCCGCATCAGCACCGCGTGTGGGCCGCTGTGAACTCTGCTGCCTTTGAGTACCTCATGTTCCTGCTCATCCTGCTCAACACGGTTGCCCTTGCCATGCAGGTGTGAACTCTCCACCCTACCCCCTTGGTGAAATGTTCCATACATGATCCCTTGAGACCCCTTAGGAATGCTTGAAATGCAAGGAACAAAGCCTCCACAGACATTTGCCACATTTCTTCAAATCTAAGGCCCAATCATTGGGAGCTGCGTCTGATTTCAGAGGTGTTAGAACATGAAGAAGACGAGGTGGGCAATGACCATTTTCAGTTGCCATTGGTTTTAAAATGCACTCTGGTTTCCGAGAGTCTCGATGTGAAAACCTGTGCATCCTCGACTCAATGAAATGGCCTGGTTACATCGCACGGCAAGAAGTCGAGAGGCAGACTATTTGCTATTGGCTCGTCAGGGGCCCACTATTCTTCATGAGTTGGTTTCCATTCTCCTGCTTATTGCTTCATGGTCTCAAGATAGCTGTCACAGTTGTAGGCATCAGAACCACAGTCAAGCCAGGAAAAGGAGTTTCATGGGGAAACTCCTCTCCCATTTGAACCTTTTATTAAAATGCAAAAACAAAATTTTTTTTTCACGGAAAACCAACCAAGCAGCAGCAGATTTGTGTTTATGTTTCATTAGTCAGAACTGGCCTTGCAAAACAAAAAAGAAAGCTAAGAAATTAAGAATTGGGGTTTTCTGCATCCACAATGGGAAGCAGACAGGCCAACCCATAATGCTACCATAATCCCATACTCACCTCAGTCCAGGCCAGGAAAGATTTAGGTTGTGGGGATGGGGTGGGATCATCTCTGCCTCAAACTGTACCCACACCCTATTTGTTTTCCCCCAGCACTATGAGCAGACTGCTCCTTTCAACTACGCCATGGACATCCTCAACATGGCCTTCACTGGCCTCTTCACTGTCGAGATGGTGCTCAAAATCATCGCCTTCAAACCCAAGGTGCCCCCAGCCCTAGACCCACTCCAAATGGGGGAATCCCTAATGGGAGGTCGGACTCATTGCAGACGCTTAGGGATGCAGGCACCAGGAAGTCAAGAAACTATAGCACGTAAGAGGGATCTAAGTGCAGGCCCATTATGTGGTCCAAGTGGGACCCTGCCTCCTCAATGCCCCCTACCACGACTGGCCCCCGCCCTATCTTGCTAGCTCTGAGAAAACAGAACACCTCTTCCCTCCTGCTACAGCATTACTTTACTGATGCCTGGAACACATTTGATGCTCTCATTGTGGTGGGAAGCGTGGTGGACATCGCTGTCACCGAAGTCAATGTGAGAATTAACCTCTTTCCTAACCTTCCCTCATCTTTATCCCCGGGTTCTCTTTCCCATGGGTGGATGGCACCCACTCACGTCCACCCCATTCCCAGATGCTCAATGCACCTTGTTTTCGTTCGATCGCTTTTGAGTCCCTATTGGTCTCGCCCTAAGCCCAACCTTACCTGCTCCCTCACTCCATTTTGAATGCACCTACTGAGTCTACCATCTCCTAACCTGTCTCTCCTCTTGCCTCCACATCTCTCTCCTTTGACTTAAACATCTCCACTGCTCTGGCTCCTGCTTGGGCTCCGTCATCTCTTCTGGCTCCTTCACTGGCTCCATTTCCATCCTCATCTTCATCACCGGGTCTTGTACAACTCTGCCATCACCACTGACTATACCACTGAATCCTCCGTTGGAGACAACGTTGCTGGTCCTGTTTATCCGTTGTGCTTTCTCTAATGGGTCCTCACTGGTTCTCTCGTCGGCATCATCTCCACTGATTCCACTACTGGCTCCCTTATTTCCTTCATTGACTCCCATATTCTTCCTACATCCTCCTCTTTGTCCTCATCTCTCCTTTCCACCCGCATTACCAACGTTTTCCCACCACCGTCCTGATTCACCATCACATAACTTTCCCTATCAATCTCTGCATCATGCCCCTACCCCTTCCTCTATCTGCTCCATCATTCTCCCCTTGTCCATTTGGGCCTGTGTTCCCATAACCTCTTGTATCATCTTTGTCTTGGTTATCCTTCTTTCTAGAATGGTGGACACCTTGGCGAGGTAGCCCCTTACTTATAACAGGGACTCTCTGTCTCTTTTCCCACCTGCCTTGCCTTCCTTCTTTTTGGGGAGTCCTTAGAGATGCTTCCTGACCACCCTGGGATCTGAGTTCTAAGAGATTAGGGGGCTGGGATGGCTTAGGCAGAAGGCCAAGAGAGGTGGCTACAACCAATGTGGACTGAGGGTGCCCATCACACTTCCCACCCCAGAGCTCTGAGGACAGCTCCCGCATTTCCATCACTTTCTTTCGCCTGTTCCGAGTCATGCGACTGGTCAAGCTTCTCAGTAAGGGTGAAGGGATCCGCACATTGCTCTGGACGTTCATCAAGTCCTTCCAGGTAAACCCCCACCACGCCCATCTGACCACCACCTCACTCTGAGCTCACATCTCCCCGCAGTGCATTCCAGCATGTCATATCCATGCCCAACGTGCTCTTCTCTCTGGGCACCCAATGCCCAGCATGCCTCTGTCTTCACTATTCTAACTAATAAGATGTTTGTGGATTGACCCTATGCCCCAGTTTAGGAGCTATTGATAATCTCCCAGCATTCCTGCAGAGCAGTGCATTCTGGGGCGTATAGTTTTCTGCCTGTATCTGAATATCTCCCTCCCCCCCCCACCCTTCTACTCCCCTAGGCCTTGCCCTACGTGGCTCTCCTCATTGCAATGATATTCTTCATATATGCAGTCATTGGCATGCAAGTGAGTAAGAACCCAAAGGGGAACATCTTTCAGACACTCCTTGGCTGGGGGAGGGGAAAAGAATAACCCCAAATTGGGAGTTATGGGTGAATAGAGAAGTTGTTTGACCCTGGGTCAGTTCACATCTGTGAAATGGTATCCGCAGTACCTGCTTGTCAGGGTTGTAGGGAGCCTCTGGGCTTTATAATGCGAGAAACAAATGGGTGGGAACATGTGGAGGCATAGGTTCACCCCTCCAACACAGCCCCTCTGCACACACAGATGTTTGGCAAGGTGGCTCTTCAGGACAGCACGCAGATCAACCGAAACAATAACTTTCAGACCTTCCCACAGGCTGTGCTGCTTCTGTTCAGGTGGCACCCACCCCCACCCCTTCTTGCTTCAGCCCCTAGAATCCCTGCCCACTCCAACCAGGTTCCCACCCACCTTCTCCGAGCCCCAGACTGCCTGAGCTAAGAAGATCACAGGCAGCAGGGGGCTCCGGGGCTGCCAAAACCTTTGCTGGTCCTGATCTGAGGAGTCTCTTCACACAGTCTAGCCTCAGCCCTCTGTTTTCGAGATGTGAGATGCAGCGCCTTCTTATGCCTTACTGCGCCATCTGTAAAATGTGAACGTGACTGTCATCATTGCGACACCAGCTGTTAAAATATTGAAATGCTGTGTGTGTCAGATACAGCCCCTGGTGGATCATCTCCTCACTCTCCCA